CTTGTCTAATAATAAAAATGATATCTCTCTTCTAGGTGCCTATCATCCTGAAGAGATTTATTCAAAATATATAGTTCAGATGACAGAGAAGGGTTTTACACTAGTCGATCACCCATCTGAAGTTTATGGGTTACCCGATACTCATGAATGTATTGATGGGAATTTGCCTCTTCGCCTGGTTTTAGATAATGATGCGAGGCAGTATTCCAATCCCATGAATCCTGAACTCCTTTCCTTAGATGGATATAAAATTTCTCGCGAAGATTTATTATCCAGAATCTTAATTACTTGCACTGATATTATAAACTCTGATTTAAATCATTTTATAATATTAGACGCTTTTGCCTTAGCCAGTTCGTCTAATGCTAATAAATGCAGTTGGCATATCGTGTATCCTTATGCCTGTTTTATTGATTATAGAGACCTTGAGGGTTTTGTAAAAAAAGTCGCTGATAGGTTAGAAAGCTATATTCAGAGTTTATTGATATTAGACTCTATAAATCTCGTTTCAGCCTTCGTCTTCTTGGATTGGCAAAGGAAGATAGAGTTAAAAGACCTGCGATTTCTTCAGTTAAACAAGAATATCGCAAGCTAGAAGATTATTTAGTTCAACCTAAATCTAATTATTCTGAAATCTGGCCTTGAACTTTTTCTTCTGAGAAGCCAGCAAAAGAGGAGTTTCAACCTATCGAAGATGAAACTGCTTTAAACAAGGGAGCTAGTCAAATTACCACAAAATATAAATGGCTTGATTCTTCCAACTAAACTAGTCCGGAGCTGGTATCACTACCGCAAATTTCTGTATGTAATATTCTATTGTGCCTATAAAATGCAAGACGAAATTGACACTAAAGCTCTGGCATATGTCCAGAGACGTGAAGGAAGATGCTTAGGCAAAGTTAATCCTAATACATATTTATGGTCATGTAAAAAGGGTTATCAATGGGAAGCGCGTTACCAAGGTAACAAACAGAATTATAGATGGTACAACATTTGTCCTAATGTACTAGAAAGAACGTGTCGGTATATATTTGAGGAATTATTACATAAAAAATTTCCTCTCTGAAAACCTAAATTCTTGGAGGGATTACATCTAGATGGATATAATGAAGAGCTGGGCTTGGCTTTCGAATACAGTGGTAATCAACATTATCAAATTGTGCCTTTTTTTCATCCACAAGGACAGATGAATCTAGACGCA